TGCTGGTGGTTGGTGGCTGGTGGCTACCGTTCTGTGGAGCTATCGGGGGCCCGAAGCGTTGTAATTTTCATAAGCGCTCTGCTAAAGATGTTTCCGACTTGGGCCCAAAAGTCCCCAGCCCAGGCCACACGAATTCATAATTTGAGAACAAACGAAAATCATGACCGAGCTGCGGCTACATAAAATCGATTTAATCCTTGCCAGCACCTTGGTCTGCCGCCGCCATGGAGAGCGCACGCTCGCCCAGATTAATTGCCCACAAGCAGATGAAGGATGGGACGGAACGGGCTAAGATCGTTGCGATCGTATGGGATGGGTAGGATGGCAGAGCCGAGAACGGACCAGAGATGGAGGAGAAATGGAGACCTACAGCAGCGCAACGAAACATGCACCAGACATATGTATGCTCGTCCCCGCTGTGGTATGCCATCCAGGGGAATCCAATAAAGCCGAAATTATCAATTTATTTCACGCCTCGAAATCACAACAACCATCACCAGGCACAGGATTAGAGGAGGGGCAGGCCAGGCTTCGACTTTCGGCCAGATCAGCGCTCCCCGATCGGCGTCTGAAGGCAACGGCTTAATTACCTCTGGGGGTGTTTCCGACGTACTGTGTGGCAAGCCATGGGATGGGTAGGAAGTCGATGATAGTAATGAGTAATGCACATGGGAAAGGATTGACCCCCGCCGTTGCGGCAGTTTCGGTTTCGAGAGGGGCTGATAGTGTCTGGCCAATCAGGACAAAGTAGTCTTCTTCCCATGCGGAAAGAAACGAATTTGGTGACCCCTACTGATTTCTACTGAGCGACATTTGGTGACCCCAACCGCCATGTGTACCCCATTTATATATATACTGGCTTAATATCCAATAATCCTTTTGCTGTTTTATAAATGCGCCACCCAAGTTCCGTTGAATTGAAAATTGCGAAAGGATGTATAAATAAAACAATAAAGACATAAATAAATCCATTTCTATCGATCATTCCTGATCGGAATTCTGCAGATCCTACCGATTCATCATTGTTGTCCCTCGATCCTTTCCATCAATGACTTTTGAATGGTTTTTTGGCACAGTTTCCTTTCAATTTACCGCAGCAGCACACAAACAATGTGCCTGGAGGTGTTAAGAAGGTGTTATCCTTTAGCGCCTCGCTTTATAACTGCCAAACGCAACAAAGGGCCAGGATCTCCTTTTCCTTTTCGCCGCTCCACATGCGGTAATACGTATATCCAGTATAATTGCAGCCTTTAGACGCAACCGAATCCCCGGGCCGGGGACTCCTCAAATACAAAAGAGAATTTACAATGCCCGCAAGGACATAAGAACAACAACAAGAACGAACATTGGCAACGACAAGAGGAAGATGGCCAAGAAGAGGGCCTCCAGGTCCATTGTTGCCAATTCGAAAGTGAGCCGAGCTCTTTGGCTTCTTTGTGGCCCCATAATGAATGAATTCCATTAAAGATTTATGTCAGTTTGATGATGCCGCACAAGGATCGCCGAACAACGCCCCGAACAACGCTCGCTGGTGCTGGTATGCGGTTGTCTTGATTGAAGGTTGATTTGTTGCATTTAGTGGCTCGGACTGGGACTGGGACTGGGACTGGCCTACCTGGTCGGTTGTTTTGATGAGATTAGCACACGTGTTGAACACGCACGCCATTGTGCCACACAGCCATTGGCAGAAGATAACCGCCGATCGGTTCGGATCGGATCGGCTCTGTCTGGGGTGCGGTTGTGGGAGAGGGCGTTGCGGCGGCAGCGGCGGCAGCGGCGGCGGTGGCTTGAAAGGCCGTTAAATTTATTTTGACAAATGACATTTCAATCGCAATTGTGGTCCCAGCGTGAGACCTGGAGCTGGACCATGCCATGATCGGGTCCCCCATCCATCGCCATCGTATCGTAATTCAAAATTGAAACGGCGCAATTCATTTGGCCAAATCAAACAAATCGTAAAAGGCAAGAAGCGCGCGAAAAAAAAGCACAGCACACAGCTAAAACGTGATTGGAGCCACCTCAAGCTGACGCCACCAGGTCGGCACTCCCCCGACCACCCCGTGGTCTGCATCCAGCAGGCAGCATACGGCATGCGGCATCCACCTTGTGGTCGTCTACCTACAGCAAAGCTGTGCTGCGCGGCCACAAAGTGATTTGATCTTTGCACCAAAGTGGTAATCCGCATCTAATAATGTGAAGCGGTGCATTCGGCGCACGATCTCCAGCCGTTGCAAGATGGAAACGCTTGGCTCCGAGGCAGAGACCTCCCAGTTGGTCGGCGCGGCGGCTCTGTGTGGATGGCGACTCTGCAGCCCGAAAGTTGATTGGAGTCAACGATGGAGTTATTTGTACGATTGGACCCGACTCTCTGGACGACCATCTGCTGCTGCTGCTGCTGCTGGGGCTCCTACTCCTTCTCCTTCTCCTTCTCCTACTCCTTCTCCATCTCCTGCTGTTGCTGCTGTGGTCGCGATCGATGCGCACGTTGATTGTGGCGCGAATAACAACAACAAATTATATGCGTGGCGCATAATTGAGAAATATTGAGACATTATGCCACAAAGAAGGCGGCTGGGGCAAATCGTACTCCAGGTGTGGCCCTGATTTCGTCTGGCGTTCCTTCTAATTGCAATTATCGATACAAATAAGACTTATGGATAGATACCAAAAGTTTTGCTGACACATCACTCCTAAAACTGGGAGAAAGAAGAACTGAAAAGGAGAGAGACATAGAGTGAGAAAGAACGGTGATTTTCTTTCATAGATAATTCGCTTAAATTATGGCGCAGCAAGATCAACATTCAACATTAATGCCCCAAAGCGACCTACAGCAGCGATTGAATCGATCCACATTGATATCGAAGACAACATCAATCAGCGAGGGTATGTGGAGAGAGAAAGAGAAAGATATGGACGAGTACAGAGACAGAGAGACAGACAGAGAGAGAGAGAGAGAGAGAGAGAGAGAGAGAGATAGAGAGAAAGACAGAGCTTTACATTGAAGTACAGTACTTCGTTTGTTTATTGTGAAATTGAGAAAGTCTGTCATGCATATTTTATATGACAATGCTGGGCCATTTAGCGGAATTAAAACACTGCCATAGACCCCACCCATGACCCGCCCCTGGAGGCAACCAAAAACAACACAGAGTGAGAGAGAAAGGGAGGCAGAGGACTGGGAGATTGACAAATTGAAATGAATGTGTGTCCATTCACTTGGAAATGCCCATTAAATGCCACTCCCCTTCTGGGCAGGCACCAGAGGCCAGCGGCCAACGGCGGCATCATAAAACGCCCGGACCGGAGGCAGGCCCAGGGCCAGGACACATGAACATTATGACACCTCACCTCAAATGACATGCACATGATTGCCTAACTGGTCTCGCACTTGTCCAGCCCCAGCGCCAGCCCCAGCCGCAGCTCATCCTCTTGAAATTGAAAATTCTTCATAGTCATCAAGCCACCATAGTCATCCAAGTTGATTCCAGCTCCGGGTACGGGTGCGGGCATAAAAAGCGTGACGTATTTCCGCTTCCCATTCGCACCTGCATTCATTATCCTGCGTTGGTGTTGTGCGTTCTGCTGGGGGGTGTTGGTGGTGCTGCTGGTGCGTGTAGTTGCCCCGCTCTGTGGCATGCGTAACTAAACTTTCGCAGTTGTAAGTTTTGACGTCCGCCCCAGAGGGTTGCTGCCGAATGGCCCTGGATAAGGGGTGGGATATGTAATCCGGAATCCGGATTTCGGTACAAGTGCGCGTGTCCAATGCGATTTGGTGTAGTCAAGTGACTTTATTTTTATTAGCACAACTTAATGAACTTGAAATTTTCAACATTTATTACCATGTACTGAGTCTTTTGTTGCGCTGCCTCTCCGACCTGGCGAAATTAGAAAGTAAAGTGATTTATAAACGTGCCGTGACTGAAGATGAAGTGAAGCACTTGGCCTAGCAAAAGTTAATTGCTGCCCACGGATCAGACGGGATATGGCAATGGAAACTGAACTGGGAACTGCTGGTCTCCAACTCGAGACTGAACATACGTGAATTTTGTGGGGTGATCGATTCGATTCGATTCGATCTTATTTAAATTTAAAAGGTCACCAAGTATTCGTATGCAAACAACACGAACTGATGGGATTCTAGGAATTCGGACTCCCAAAACAAAATACATATTCTACATACATATATGTTTGTATATGTAAACCATTAAAGCGGGTATTGTTCAAATGTTTTGACGAATGTTTCATATTTAAGTGTAAAATATTATAAATGAAGTAATTTTCTTACAGATTTAACATATTATATTTCAATTAAAGAGTTTTTATAAAGGTATTATAGGTTTGTGGTGAAAGTGGATGTCGTTATAGCCATGCCAGTCTGGACTTTAGGAGCAAGAGCTACCAAATTTTCTACCCAGACTTCTATGATCCTACACTTTATGTGTAATTGCGACCCGCCCCTTTCTGCCCACATATGCACAGACATCTAAGAATGCCATAGCTACCAGATTGATGACTCTGGATCGGATCTGATTAATATTATAGTCAGATGGAACAAATCTCTCTCTTCCACACACTCTTCCTCGTGCAGTGTAATCCCTCTGGCGGAGTGGAACCATACTGAATGAATATATTGTATAAATGTAGAGTCGAGGTCATAAAACATAAAGTTTGAGTGGGAAAACATTGTTTGTTTCTAAAGATAGCCAAGGCTTCTGGACTATCCAAGATCTAACATTATGTATAAATAAAATATGGATATAAGAACATGGGAATCCGGAAAGACGGATAACTAAATGTGGTATAGAAATGCTCTAGGAGTATTGTATAATTATATCTTATTTTAATCGCTGGTTCTATATGGAATGGATATTGTATTGGCTTACACATGTCCGTGTCCCTTGCCTCACGGCTAATCTTTTTTACTTAGACTACGATTTTTGGCATTACAAATAAAAATATGTGGTAAATTTTATAACATAATATCGTAAATATAGTTGGGTTTACTTAATTTTCTTCTTGTGAGTAATGGTCGTGCTATCAATATCCTGCTGCGGATGATCCTTGTCGCCCCAGCCCCAGATAGGATGGGTGCCATCGCCAGTTCGTAGCACGCGCTTCTGCACCATGTCCAAGGAGACGCTCTTTAAATCGTACGCCCAGCCCAGACGGGCAAACGTCTTGATGAAGTTGGTGGTGAGGTCTTGTGAAAAGTGTCCCATCTCGGCGCTCTTGTAGTCCCAGGGGAAGACGTGGTGATAGTTGTGGTAGCCCTCGCCCATTCGCAACCAGATAAGAAAGCTCTGGTTGGTGGGGCTGATGGACTGGTCGTAGGGGCGTTTGCCGTACAAGTGGGCAGAGCTATTGAGCAGCCAGACGCCGTTGAGTACCAGGCACCAGCGCAGAAGCGCCGGCACATGCCAAGCCACGCTGAGGGACTCGCCCCAGAAGTACACCGGCACCAGCGTGGGGAGGAGGAAGCAGCAGATGGGCATCAGGATCAGGTAGTGCTTCTTCTGAAACATCACCAGGGGGTCTCGCCGCAGATCGGACAGATCGATCAACTTACCCTTCGCCGTCACGTTGGGGTGCTTTTTGCAGCACAGCCAGCCGATGTGGGAGAAGAACCAGCCCCGCCTCGAGTTGTACGGATCGGCATCCGTCTCCGAGTATTTGTGGTGCAGGCGATGGTCGCGCGACCAGTTATACACGGCGTCCTGGAAGGCCAACGTATTGAAGAAGAGCAAAATCAGACGCAGCGGCAGGTTGGCCTTATAGGTGCGATGCGCCCACAGCCGATGTGCACCCCCCGAGATGCCCACGGCGGAGAAAAGGAACAAAATCACGCTGAACACGAACGTCTGCCACTTTATGGCGGTGAGCAGAAGCCAGATCCCGTACAGAGAGGCCGTGTGCACATAGATAAACAGCACTATATTCATCCACACGAGCTCCAGCTTCCGTCCGTCCGTCGTCTTCAGAGTGCTCAAATCCTTGGCGGTACCTTCTGGCTCCGCATCCATTTCGTAGAGTACGCCCGTGGTGTCGGAAACCTTAGGCCCAAATTCGACCACTTCGCTGTTTGGCGGCATGTTCAGACTGTGCGGTAGGCCTGTTTCACCCGACGTTTCAAAATTGATTTGGGGGCCTTTGCCACACTACCTTCTTATACTCATTCTATTAAAATATGCGCAATTACATTTGCATTTCGATTAAATCGATCTAATACAAATTTGGGCGAGTCTTGAAACAATTCCACTAGTATGCTAGGAGACCAAAAAACCAGTCGCAGCTAGGGCCGCAACTCTACATTTATACCCGATACTCAGTCGGTTGGGCTCTCCTCCGCCAGAGTGCCCACACTGCAGCAGGAAGAGCGTGTGAAAGCGAGGGAATGAGTAAGCGTGTGATCTGATCTAGATTCGGCAATCTGTATCTATAATTCTGTATTTTTATTTTTCTCGTATCTTCAAAATTGTGCATGCCACAGATGGAAGGTGGCGGGGCGAAAATTTGAAATACACCTGTAACAATATGATATCACAGGAGTCTGGATCCAACTTTTGGTTGGTCTGGCTTTTACAGTCCCTGAGATCTAGGCGCTCTTGAAGACGGACAGACAGACTCGTGTATTGATGCTGATCAAGAATGTATATACCTCATGGGGTCGGAAATCATTGGAAGAGAACTACTAATGAAAGTACACTTATAAGAACTAAGCAATTTCGGTATACTTGATATATTTTGAGCAACACCTGATATTAGATTAAAATTCTAATCTATGCAACCTTCGGAATTTCTAATACAAATAACATTGGCTGGTTTAAAATTCAAGGGCGATTCAAGGTAAGAGCACTACCTATTCTTTATTCAGAAATAGATGGCAACATTGACTCAAAGAATAGAAATTAGATCATTTTCTAGTTTTCGGTGGAATGGAAAAGATCTATTTGTATATTGTAATGGATCTGTATAAGTAGCCGAGGGATGTTGACTCCTGGATCTAACGAGAAATAACGAACAGTAGAACCATAAACTTATTGAGGAGCTTCGCAGTCATTTGCCACCCACACACTCGAGTTTCTCCCTATTAATTAGAGCAAACGACGCATTTTATGGCAATGCAATCATCGGACAAAACAGCGCGAAAGTTTAATTGCTGCCTTTTGGCTTGAAAAATAAGAGTATGCCATAATTGCATGCAAGACAGTGGCCAATATGCCAGGGAGGGGGGCACGAGAAGCGTATCCGCATGACGCATGCGCGTAATTGCAATGCACACGAAAATTGCATAGAGCCGGCACACAGGGGTGCATTCTGTCGTTGGCGTTCTGTCCTATTTGTATGGCCCGCACTGTGGCTGGTCATGGCAGCCACAGCTACAGCCACAGCCAAAGCCAATCGCATTCTCATTATAGACAAGGCTGGCTTGAGGGCTAGCAGTTCCAATCCCAGTGCCGGGATCCCATTAACGTCAGCCTCGCGTTAAAAATCGATAGATGGATTGGGTACTGGCCACTACCGACGCTTGCTTGGGCATCGCCGTCGTCTTCGTGGCCGTCACTGTGGTCTCTGGCACTCTTGAAGACTCTCGGCGGCTCGCGGACTTGCCTTGGCCGCGGCAAAGATCAAAGCTCGCGAAAAACCACCATCATCTTCTTAAAGGTGGTAATTATGCCTCACTTTGGTCGTATATGGTCGCCCCACTGCGATCCGATGCGATCCGGGCGATGCGTTGTTCTCTGGACTGCGTTCCTCTCTCAAGTTTGGGTTCTCTCGTTGATAAAGAACGTTCGAGTGGAAGGGGCCTTGTTGGGGATCTGTCTTGTTGTCTCGGTGAAAGCTTCGCAGCAAATTTATACGCACTTCTGTCCCAAAACATGGCCGCCGGCTGCAAAATCGCACATAACCCCAAATTTGGGTTTAAGTAGCCCGATAGCAAAGTGGAGTTGGAGCGGGACCGGGAGCTGGGGATGGAGTTGGAGTTGGTGCTGGTGCTGGAGCTGAAGTAGCCCTTCATCATAACTCAGCTGTCAGCTGCATGTCACTTCTGCGGCTACCGATCGATGTCGATGTCGATCGGCCGCACTTTGAAATTGTAGACGCAATTAGTTTGAAATATTATTATCGACACGTACTCTCCCCAGCTCGGAATGGTATCGAATGGAGCTGCTGGAGATGGCAGAGCTGCAGAGAAGGGGAATTTGTGGTCGGTCTACAATTAGCCTTAATTGAGGAATTTCATTCGTGTTAAACTCTTTGACCGCATCTCCCTCTCAGGCAGATTTCTCTCGAACCCAAAAACCAGAACTCCATATAGCATACCCATACCCGAATCTGGAGGAGCAGGCCGACGGTCCGTTCAATTGAAAAGCTGCTGACAAAAGCTGTCATTGATGATGGCTGCCCGGACCCGGAGCCCGAGCCCCAGCCCCAGCCCCATCCCCATCCCGAGCCGCTATTTGAAAATCAAATTGCGCCATTAACTGGCCGGCAATTAGTAGACGTAGACGCTCGAATCCAACGCCATACTCGCCACAGACATTTGTCTGTCAAACGGTAGTGGAACGTTACTCTTTTTCAATTATGAATAGAGAATGCTTGTTTTGTCCCGTTCCGAAAGACGAATGTGAGCTCCGGCCACTGAGAGAAATTGTAAGCGGCATGAAAAATAAGTATGTATGAGTCCTTGATCTGAAATTTGGCAATCAGGAGCCACAAACCCTATAGAAAATATCATAGTAATATTCATATATTATAAGTGTCTTATAAGTGGATTCTTTGTCAGAAGTGAAATTGAATTATTGAAGCCCAAATTATTGAATTAAGATGTGTCGAAAATACTTTTCTCAGTGTAGCATTGAGACAATGTCAAACCGAAAGGCTTTGTTGAATCCAATAGCCAGCCCCCAGTAAAGTCATAAAGCCTAATGGATTACTATGCTTCTGTACTTGTTCGTTGGCGGCGTTAATTAATTTGTGACTGTCTGAGAGCCGGGCCTAATTAATTAGACAATGAGCCTCGACTGTGGGGCTTCGGCTTCGGCTTCGGCCTCTGCCTCTGCCTCTCCACGCCCGGCCCCCGGGGAGAGCTGATGGATTTGCTCGATCAGCTAAAAGCTAAAAAAGCTGAAAGCCAAACAAACGCCAAACCATTATCATTAATAATATGACATTATGAGTTGAGTAAATTTATGTCTGGCTCGCATACGGAGTATATGTAATTTCTGTCCCCAAATTATACCTTTTCTGAGTCTGCACTCCACTCCACTTCACTTTCTGATATTGATATTGAAATGAGGAAAGACCGTCGAAATGTCGCAATGACATTCGTCTCGTCTCCCATGTGAACTGACTTCATTAATTTATTTATGAGTTGATTGTGAGGCGATGGTGAGGGGCAGACGGAATTGGCACACGGCAAAGGCAGCGCGCGCTGCCACGGAAACAACAGAAAATTACTCTGAAATTATGGCAACAATTATTTTAAAATTGAATTACGTCCAATTACAATTGAAATGAAATGCAGATGGCATCAAGATACTCGTACCGCTCGCTCTCCTTCGGCTCCTTCATGATGGCCGCCCGAATTTGGGCTCTTCTGTTTCTGGGTTCTGTTTCTGTTGCTGTTTCTGGCCAGGAAGGAAGGTGGCTGTCTGATGTGGAGGCGGTAGTGGGTGACTCCCCGGCTCGGGCTAAAAAAACAGAAAAAACGAAGCTAACGTAAAAAAAACCAATTACGTGGCTGGGAATCGGGCCTGGGCGGTGGCCGTGTCAGGACGTAAGTTATTATCCTGCAATTAATTTGGCTAAATGTTCTGCTCTCCTCTGTGTATAGCCCGTGCGCAAGCGCCTCGCTCTGGCCTGCGCTGATTGGCTGCCTGCCACGGTGACGTCACTGTTGCAAGTGGCAAGTAAGACACGCCTGCAACACACGACCAGAGAGGCAGCTGAAGGCAGCGAGAGACACACACAGAAAGAGAGGGAAAGAGAGAGAGAGAAAGAGAGGGAGAGAGTGAGAGAGTACGCTGCTTGGCTGTGGCTGCTGACTGAAGGTATTGCTCCGTTGCAACATGTTCGATGTTGCAACAGCTCAAGAGTGGCACAAAGAATTTTTTTAACAATAAATAATTTTTGAGAAATTTTATATATTAAAAAAAAAAAAGGAATATCTACACTTCCTTTAACCCCTACTTGGTGGTCTTTAAAGATTGTTTTCGAACACCTCTCTGGCCTCATGCTTAGATCTAGAGATTAGGCTTTCAGCCCGAACCAAATAAAGTTTCCATTTAAGCTATCTCCTAAAATTGAATTAATTCTTTGATTATACCAATCACATACGCACACTCGTATTAATTGAGTTGAGCGTTCTGGTCTTATCGAGCCCCTCTAATTTCTCCAGGCCTAAATGCATTTGGACAATGGATCCAAGGCCTCTCCACTCATTTAGCTATCTGAAATAGTAGCTGCCCAATGTAGCGCCCACTGGATCTAGTGCATCGCCACACGCAGTCCGACTGAGAATGGGAAACCATCAACTAAATTAATTTTCGAATTGGATGCCCATCACGCTTATCGAAAATGGCTGAAAGTGGAAACCTTTTAGGCGGCTTCTCAACTTGGCAACGAACGTCTTGTGTGGCAAATTAAAATTCAATTTTTCAAACAGATCAAATCCCATCCAATCCAATCGAACAAAGCCCCCCTCCATACCCATCCATATCCATCCGTATCCATCCGTATCCATCCATGCCGATGCACCGATTATGGCCCAGGGCACAAATTGAATGGCAGTCCACTTAATTCGATTTACTTTAATATACTTTTTCTTCTTTCTCTGACATGGCTGTTGTTTTCCACTGGTTTGTTGATGCTCTCCTGCGTCAGCGCGTGGGTTAATGACGCCTTACAAATGCAGCACAATCCTTGGACTCTGGGTGCTCTGGTGTGAAGCTCCTTTGTCTCGGGATGCGTAACAAATGTCCTGCACAAAGGGAGCTGGAATTGGAAGAGGAATTGGCACAGGTTTGCCAGCAGGTCTGGGTCGGTGTCAGAGTCGGGAAAACTCATTACAAAGCGTGTGATAATCCAC